GGATGGGTAATAGGTGAAGTTGCAAATAGGTTCAGGTAATAACACCCTAATATCTAACAGGAATGTGATAAGCAGATATCCTCAGAATCCAAGAAAAAATACTTGGAGGGTACAAAATGTAGAGGAATTAGAGCTAGTGTTATCAAAGCAATCTATTGGCATCAAGATGTTAAATAGCATTTCCTAGTCACCAGCCTACATTCAAGGTAGAGTTTAAGTTTCTAGGAGCAGTTTTTGTATTGAAGATTTGTTTTATCAGTAACTAACATCTCTATAGAATTTCATCTGAAGTGAGGAAAGAAGTAACCTTTTGGGAAGATAATGTCTTAGGAGTAGCATTACAAATGAACCCCCAAAATCTGGGAATAATTTTTAACTAAGATAAATAGGAAAGGACATGTATTTAAATCAAAATATAAGATGACTTCAAAGTATGCATGGAAAAACTATAATTAAAAGATAAAATGATTTTGGTTCAAAAAATTTACAGTTTGTGCTTAGTTTTTCATAATAAGTTATGTGAACTTGCTGAGGAATAATTTGGAGGTATTATGAAAACTGTATATATTTCAAATTTTAAAATCTCTATATGAATATCTTTTAGCTTGATATTATCACAGGCATTTTGAAATGCCCTTATATATTCATGGAGCAAGTGCTAACAAAGTTATTGAGCCCTTACAATGCCTGTCAGAATTGTCATGGTCACGTAAGGTTTAAAATGATATTGAAGATTCCCTAACTTTTTCATGGTTCATCTGTATGGACACCTTTACTTTTCCCTGTGTCAATTATGAACTTATTACCTAGTTCAGTTCTTTGCCAGTAATAGATACAGAAAAATCAGAGACTGTGTTGCACTTATTTGCATAGTTCTTTCCACTCAGATATCCTCATTAATTGTTGAAATGAATGGATCTAAATTAGAAAGACTCAGAACACAGGATATAAAGGATAAACAATAGGATAAGTGAATGAAGGGTCAAATAATTTTATTCATAGTTGTATTAAAATGTGAATTGACCTTTTATATAAGAATTACAGCAGGTAGGTAGTCTGAACTCTATAGAAAATGGAGTGGTGAGGTAGATGACTTTGTGAGTACTGCCTCCAAGGAACAAGTATTCTTTAATATGATTGTAGGCAAGAAATTCAACTTAAGATGATTTGGAGGAAAGAACTGTTGCGTGGAGAAGAACTAGGCTCAACAGAACTAGGCTTGCCTTAGAACTGATGTTTAGAATCTCTGACTCTCAGGCAAGTCAGGGGCCAGCTTTAAAATTTTGCTTTTTTGGGATAAGAATAGGTAACTTAATTGTCTCATAGGGTTTTCATCTTGTTTTTACAAACTGAAAAAATGTTACCTGTACAGCAGCATCACTATGGACAATAATACTAATGAAAATGAGGGGATCAAAAAGTAATTAACACTGTGATAGGATTTATGAGTGACTTGGAATTTTAATTTTTATAAGGGACTTGCTTGAATGAGGTGCCAATTTGTCTTTGTTGTGTTAGAATATTTTTCAAACCACTGGGTACCTTGATGTCTTGGTGACACCTGCTTGAGACTGGTGGCAATATGTGCCACACTGGGTCCATTATGCCTGATGTTGGGCAAGTCTAGAGGCTTAGTGTGTGAGCACTAGCCACGAGTGATGTAGGTAGAGGACCTGGGCTTCATCAGATGCTGGGTCTGAAGGAGGTGGACCCAAGTCAAGATCCTAATTCTGTGTTACTGTGCAGTAGCTGCAGCCAGTGTGATGACAGTTGTCTTGAGACCTACCATTTCATTACTGACTCATGGTCAATAGCCGAAGATTATTAAGAGCATCAGACTTTTAAAAGAAGATTGTCAGGCCCGGCGATGTGGCCTAGTGGCTAAAGTCCTCGCCTTGAATGTACCGGGATCTCATATGGCCACCGGTCCTAATCCTGGCAGCCCCGCTTCCCATCTAGCTACCTGCTTGTGGCCTGGGAAGGCGGTTGAGGATGGCCCAGAGCCTTGGGACTCTGCACCTGTGTGGGAGACCCAGAAAGAAGTTCCTGGCTTCTGGCTTTGGATCGGCGCAGCGCTGGCTGTTGCGGCCACTTGGGGAGTGAATCATTGGACGGAAGATCTTCCTCTCTGTCTCTCCTCCTAACTGTACATCTGCCTTTCCAATAAAAATAAATAAATCTTTTAAAAAATTCATTTAAAAATTTTCATTTACTTGTATTTTGTTTGAGAGATAAGATAGTCATACACAGAGCAAGAGGGAAACACCCTTCCACTCATTGGTTCATTCATTCACCAAACGCCTCAACAGCCAGGTCTGGGCCAAGTCAAACTAGGGGTCCAAAACTCAGTGGAGGTTTCCTGCAGGGACGGCAGGAAGCCAAGTGCTGGATCCTCACCTGCGGCCTCCCAGGGTGTTCATTAACAGGAAGCTGGGATTGTTACAGGAGAGGAAGCTCGGAGGACCTTGTCTTCAAGCAAGGAAGTAATTTTTATTTCTGAAACTAGTCATATCAACACTCAGCAGGTCAGAATGATCTCAAAACTGAGCAAAAAATTTGAACAGAAAGGACCAAAGAAGCACATGAGATGTTCAATGTCAGTAAAATGGCATTTCTCACTGAGAAAATGTAGAACAAAGTCAGAAAGACATAGTATTTCATAGCCTCTATGGTATTAATTTTTTTCATATTTTTTTATTTTTATAGGCTATTTATTTTGTTTTTAAGATTTCATTGATTTTTATTGGAAATCCAGATCTACAGAGAGAAGGAGAGACACAGAGAATGATCTTCCATCTACTGGATCACTCCCCAGGCGGCCTCAATGGCTAGAGCTAAGCCAATCTGAAGCCAGGAGCCATGAGCCTCTTCCAGGGTCCCAGGGCTTTGGGCCGTCCTCAACTGCTTTCCCAGGCCACTAGCAGGGAGCTGGATGGGTAGTGAAGCAGCCAGGATACAAAGCAGTGCCTAAATGAGATGCTTTTATATGCAAGGCAAGAACTTTAGCTACTAGACAATTGCTCCGGGGCCTATAGATTATTATTTTGAAAAAGGGGGGGAATCTCAATTGAACTTGAACTGTGGTTATGCAACAAGGAGGAGGAATCCACCATGGCGGGAGGGTTAGGGGTGGGTGGGGGGAGTCCCAGTACCTATAAAACTGTGTCACATAATACAATGTAATTGATAAAAAAATGAAATGCATTAAAAAATTAAAAATAAAAAAGGGAGGGATTGTTGCTAACAATGTGGGGGAATTAGAACTCAAAAAAATTAGATGGAGGTCTTGATCTGTTTCCCTCTGTGTTTATCTCTCTCAAAACAAAAACAAAAACAAATTGAAACAAATAAAACTATGGAGTGAGGCATTTACCCCAGCAGTTAAAATGCTGGCTGAGATGCCCACTTCCCATGTTCAAGTGCCTGGTTTCAATGCCCAGCTCTGCTCCTGAATCTAGCTGCTTGCTAATGTAGACCCTTGGAGGTGGAAGTGAGAACTCGGGTAGTTGGGTTTCTACCACCTACACGGAAGACCTGGGTTGCCTTTGTGGCTCCCGGCTTAGTGGGGCCTTGTGTCAGCCACAGTGGGCATGTGGAAACTGAACCAATGAGTGGGAGCTCTCTCTTCCTCCCAAATAAGTAGTAGTTTCTTTTTTTTTTTTTAAAGATTTATTTTTATTATTTTTTTCATTGGAAAGGCGGATATACAGAGAGGAGAGACAGAGAGGAAGATCTTCTGTCCGATGATTCACTCCCCAAGTGAGCGCAATGGCCGATGCTATGCCTATGCGAAGCCAGGAGCCTCTTCCGGGTCTCTTACGCGGGTGCAGGGTCCCAAAGCTTTGGGCCGTCCTCGACTGCTTTCCCGGGCCACAAGCAGGGAGCTGGAAGGGAAGCGGGGCTGCCGGGATAGAACCAGCGCCCATATGGGATCCCGGGCGTTCAAGGCGAGGACCTTAACCACTTGCGCCACCGTGCCGGGCCCTAGGTAGTATTTTCAATTTCAAAAGAGAAACCAATTTAGAAATCAGTATGTGCCAAACCACATGCTTGGCATTGGGAGGAAGATGAAGCCCTCACCCTGGAGGTTCTGTGCTAGGGGCTGTGCCAGACAATAAACAGTGTATGCCATATAGGAAGGGTCTGGAAGAAGTCAGTGGGTCCTCATCCACCAGAATTTTAAGAAACTTCTTAAACTTGCCAATTTAACACCGCAGGTGTCTTCTCTGAGTGTCACATGAGCTAGGCCTCTGAAAAGTGGTACTTTTTCAGGGTGGGATGGGGCAAATACTCCTAAGCCAATTTAAAGGGTGAATCATTTATACTCTCTCTTCTACATTGCCTATTCACCCCAAATCCCTCCTACAAAAATCTTGGAGTCGTCCCTGATTTCATGGTAATTCCTACCAAATAGAGTGAATGAATGATCAAACATGGACAGAAAGGATACTGAGGCTCTAGAGAAAGTGGACACACTTTTAAGTAAGTAGCCATAAGAAGCATTCTGCCCCTTTCCTAGCTGGCTCTGGTGAGAGAAAGAGCATCTCTTGGATTTCAACTCAAGAGGAGGCAGAGTTCTGGCTACCAGATTCCGACTAGCCATTCTGAATACTCCAAGAAGCCAGGCCTTGTGACTTCCTTGGGAAGCTCTGCCTCCCTTCCCCCCACTACAATGGTCTGCTAGTGTCCTGGGGCCACCTGGGGTTGTGATCCTCAGCCTGCCTTGCAGATAGAGGGGATCTGGTGGGAACAGCTGTCTTTCCTGCAGGAGAAGGGCAGCAGTGACTGTGAGAAAAAGCTGCCCAAGTTCAGAGCAGCAGAGACCAACAAAGGCTGTGTAATGAAGATGTCATCAATAAAGGGCGGGGCAGAAGGCAAGGTTACTAAGGAACAGGTGCCAAGGGACTCACATATGCTTCACACCTTTGAATAAGGTGGATTGCTTTTCCCTTGGTAGTTTGATCTACCTCTTACAAAAAACCCTGACCCCTCCCTGCCCGCTACCAAAATGAGCCTTTGGCTTATACTGCTGCTGCAGTTAGTACAGGCACCACCTCCTCAGGAGTGGGACCAGAACTTGGTCCAGCTGACTCCTGAGGCCTGGTCTACCCAATCTATGGGTAGACTAGATGAGTTGCTCAGTGCGCTGACAACTGAAACAGACCCCAGTGGCTTTGATGACCTGGGGTCTACAAATGTTCTAGATGACAATGTCGTCTATCCTGGTGGCTTCCCGATGGAATTAGAGGAACACCCAGGTGAGCTCCTGGAGACCTTTGATGGGGCAGAACCATCTGAACTTCAGCCGGAGGACATACCTCAAAGCCCCGAGACTCTTGAGGAGGGCCAGCCTTCGTTGCTCCAAAAAGAAGGCTTAGCCCAGGTTCCACAGCCTCTCAAGGAGACTACACCTTCTCCAATGCTGCAGGGGTCTCCAATTCAGATCTCTGCTGCTGAAGAAGCTGTCCGGCAGCTTGTTCAAAACAAGATCAGTGTTCCACGTCCACCGCTGCAATCTACTTTGCCAAGCATCACAGGGAGGCCAGCGGATGTGATGCTCACAATTACGCTACAGCCAGGTGGTGAAGTTCAAAGTACTCTGGGCCAGCTGCAGGCCCCAGTTCAGCCTGCAGGGATCTCGCAAGGGGAATCCCCTCCCTCAATCCCACAAGAGGCTCCAGCTCAGACTCCAGGCCCTTCTGTAGACCAAGAGCCTTTCCCGAGTAATCAAGAGGAGTCTGCTCAGTATGCTGAGCCTTCAGTGGAGGTGGAACCTCTAGGCCAGCAGGTGGCCCCAATTCCTCCTGCTCCAGGCCCATCTGTGGGAACAGAATCTCTTCCAGGCCACCAGGTGACCCCAGCTCAGAGTGCACGTCCTTCTGTGGAGGTCACATCTCCTCCCACCCAGCTGGAACAGCCAACTCAGGATGCTGAGCCTTCGTTGGAGGCAGAACCTTCTCCAGGCCAGCAGGAACAGAAAGCTGTTGAAGAGGTTGAGTCTATATCTTCGCCAGAAATACCTCAGGAAGAGGAACCCTCATCTGAGGAAATCAGACTGTCTCCAGCCCAGCAGGAAGCTCCAGCTCCGGTGTCAGAGACCGAAGAAGTGAAATCTCCACCCGCAGAGTCTCATGAGGCGGCAGTTCCTCCTGAAGGTCAGTCTCCAACATTGCCGAGTGTGTCGGTTAACCCTGTAGAGACCATGACCGAGGCTATAACTTCAAGCCAACAGGAAGTTGCAGCTCAGGCCTCGGGGAACACTGAGCTGGACCTGACACTCCTGAAACGAGGTGACCACTCAACAGTTTCCACAAGTATTGATGAGTCAGGAGATCCTGAGGTCACCTTCACTTCACCTTCAGAGGTTGAGCCTTACCCAGCCTTACCTTCTTTAGCTGAGCCAAAGGCCATGGATGAGACTGCAGCTTCCCCTAAGGAGATAGAGCCTATCCCTACAGAATGGGAATCTCCAGCTGAACCCCTGGAGGCCCTTCCGATCACCCTTCCATCTCCACCACGGCTGAAAGTGTCCGCTCAACATCCAGAAATGACTGTGGGTTCCAAAACCCAACCCCAAGTATATTACCTGACTCCATCTCCTACTACAGAGGGTGTCATTTCTTCGGAGCCCCTAACCCAACCTCCAGAGCCACTTCAAGAATCTGTAGATGAGGAGGCAGTAGTCCCCAAACCAGCTCAGGAACAGGCTCCGTATCTATTACCACCCAGGGTCACCTTTCAGCCTTTGAAGCTGCAGCTGACTATAACTCCAGGACCCAGTGTGGAGGCTGAACATCCTACAGCCCTGAAGACCACAACAACTCTGGACTCTGAGATTTCACATCCAGACCAGGTCCAGACTCACCATGCAGCCCTGCCCAAGGTCACAGTTGCACACTGGGACCTGGGAAATACCCCAACTCCAGAACTCAATATAGAGGTTGACCAGGCTCCAACCACTCAGGAGACCCCTGTGCAGCTTACAGAGCCATCTACAGAGGTGGGAGCTCAACCTCTAGTGTTGCAAGAGGTGGCCGTTCCAACGCAAGCTCCACCTCAACCTCCAGTGACACCCAGTGTCACAGATCAGACCTTGAACCTACCACCTACACCTACCAATGGTCCAGAACCCACTGCAGAGGCTGAGCACGAAACCGCCCTGAAAGAACCTACAGGAACGAGTCCAGATGCAATTCTGACTCAGCATCTAAACCCGAGTCCTGCTGTGGAGGTCGAACATTCTACAGCCCCGAGGAGTGCCAAAACACCACCTCCAGGTGTCCCTGAGGTGACACTTCCACAGGCAGAGCTGGTTCAGGCGCAGCATCCAAACCTGACTGAAGTCACAGTTCAGGCGTTTGATATTCAGCTGGCTTTTCAATCCAGAATTGCGGAAGTTGAATCATCTCCAGCCCTGCAGAAGACCTCAGCTCAGCCTCCAGAGCCTCCATTGGAGGTTGTAGCTCCAATTCAGCATATAGTGCCAGTCAGTGTCACAGTTGAAGCTGTGAAGACAGAAATTTTCAAAATCCCAGAACCCACCACGTTGGCTGAACAGTCTACAGCCCTGGAGACTACATCAGCAGCACCTCCAAGGCATTCTGAGGTGCCACCTACATATACAGACCAGAGCCAGACTCAGCAAGTCACAGGCAATCCTCTCAATTTATCTACAGAGGTCAAGCCTACAACTATTTCGGTTACTCTAACTCGGCCACCAGAGCCAACTAGTGATATAGTAACTGTAGCAACATCAACCCAAGTCACGGGTCAACCTTCAGATTCCCGAGTCACGGGTCAGCCTTCAGATTCCCGAGTCACGGGTCAGCCTTCAGATTCCCGAGTCACGGGTCAACCTTCAGATTCCCGAGTCACGGGTCAGCCTTCAGATTCCCGAGTCACGGGTCAGCCTTCAGATTCCCGAGTCACGGGTCAGCCTTCAGATTCCCGAGTCACTGGTCTGCCTTCAGAGTTGGAGCCTATCAAAGCTCCAGTCCCTGCTCCAGAGGTTGGCCCTTCTAAAATCCTGAAGACTACAGCTCCACCTCCAGGGCAGTTTCCAACTTTGTATCCTGAAGTCAAGGCTGCTGAGTATGCTACCCAGCTAACTACTTTCATTGAGTCAAAAGAAAGCACCCCCAACAGCATGGACATCTGCGAGCTCTGTACCTGCAAAAATGGAATGCTGTCATGTACCAATCTCAGCCCGTGGCAGAAGCTCCACCAAGTGCCTGTGCCAGGATCCTTCAGTGCCCACAATGACACCTTCACCATCTTGTAAGAACTACCCTTCCTCAGAGTTCTCTAGATCTTGTCTGTCATGGTAGCCTTTTGCTCAGTACCTTGCTGGGCCTTCCTCCTGACTCAACCTGTATTTCCTGACTTCCTATTGTGACATTTTTCTTGTCACCTTTCCTTCTCCTTCTCTTAAAAAAAAAAAACTATTAGATTTACTGGAAAGGCAGAATTACAGCAAGAAGAGAGATCTAGAAAAAGTGATCTTACTTCTGCTGCTTTACTCCTCATATTGCCACAATGGCTGGGGCTGGGCCAGGCCAAAGGTAAGGAGCAAGAGCTTCTTCTGGGTCTCCTGTGTGGGTTCAGGGGCCCAAGCACTTGAGCCATTTTCCACTGTATTCCCAGGCACATTAGTGGGGAGCTGGATAGGAAGTGGAGAAGCTGGTCATCAAACCGGTACCCACATATGTATGGGATGCCAGCATCCTGACAGCCTGACCTGTTACCCTTGACTATTGGAATCAGCAAGGCTTAGTAGACAGCTTGTCTGCCAAGAACTGACTTGCAAAGCAATGAAAGATATTAAATGAACAACCTTGAATATCAGCTACAGGGGTTTCAGAGTTATACCATGAGCTGCAGAAAACCCTGAAAGTTTTCAAGCAAGAGAGGGGTGATCAAAACAGAAAGATTATTTTTTTAAAGATTTATTATTATTATTTTTTATTGGAAAGGCAGATATACAGAGAGGAGAGACAGAGAGGAAGATCTTCCGTCTGATGATTCACTCCCCAAGTGAGCGCAATGGCCGATGCTATGCCGATCCGAAGCCAGGAGCCTCTTCTGGGTCTCCCACACGGGTGCAGGGTCCCAAAGCTTTGGGCCATCCTCTACTGCTTTCCCGGGCCACAAACAGGGAGCTGGAAGGGAAGCGGGGCTGCCAGGATTAGAACCGGCGCCCATATGGGATCCCGGGCATGCAAGACGAGGACCTTAACCACTGCACCACGGCGCCGGGCCCAACAGAAAGATTATTTTTAAAAATTTTAAAAGAAATTGATCATTGTCTTAATTTTTTTCTATGCATTTATTCAAAAGGCAGAGAGACAGATTCAGAGAGTTTCCATTTGCTAGTTCATTCTCTAAATGCCTGAACAACAGGCACTGGGTTGGTCAAAGTGGGCTAAGAACCCAACCCAGGTCTGCCATGAGGGTGGCAGGAGGGCAGCTATTGGAGCCAGCTCCACTACCTTCTGGGTGTGTGTGGGCAGAAAGCTGAAGTCAGTAACTGGAGCCGGGTAGGAGCCCAGGCACTCTGACGTGAGATGTGTTTTAGTTACTAGGCCAAAAGCCTGTTTCAGAAATATGATTTTAGACACTATATGGAGAGTCATCTAGAGAGGAAAGCTTACTTCAGGGACATTAAAAAAAAAGACCTCTAGTAAAATCAAGGAATAAAATGAGAATGAGACCAAGTCACCAGCTATGATAGGAATGAAAAGAAAGTCCCTGAGATGAAAAAGGCCGGATGGACCTAGAAACTGATCAAAGGCTGGTGGGTGGATGTATGCACAGAAGAAAAAATATGACTGCAAGCTTTGTCCTGGGTGCTGGTGAGAGTGAGTGGCCTCACAGATGCAGACAGCAATCAGAAAGGAGAGACAATCTGAGGGAGGTGTGTTCAGTTTTAATACTTTATGTTGGTGAACATAATGCACACAAAGCCTTCTGGTTGAATGGGAATGTCCACCAGGCAGAACACGCAGGTACAACCGTGTACATAAGCCATGCAGGTGCACTGTTGATGATGGAGTGAAGACAGAAGCACAGGTAAAGACTCAAAGTTACCCAGACTTGAAACTTACAGTATTTAAGATTGCTTTGGAATGTGGATGATTCATGGGTACATTCTTACTTTGCCAAAGGATCATGGAACAAAGAGAAAAAAATATCAGAATCTACACCCCCACACCCTTTATCATCCTATCCTCTCTACTCCACTATCCATAAGACACTCCCATCTCCATGAGGATATGTGTCCCTCCTCCCAGTTTCTCTCCCTTGCACTTTTCCCTGAGGGAGGTGATGTTTTGCTCCTGGCTCAGTCATTTGATTTTTCCATCCCTCACCATGGCTATGGCCAGTGACCCATTTGTGTCAACACATTAGTCCATCTGATTTTGCATTGTCCATGTCCATTCACGTAGGTAGAATAATTGCAGTAGAAGGTACTTGGCCAAAGTGTTAGAATTACTGTACGTTGGAGTTTCTTTATTCTTATTTGCTGCTGAAGATAAATTGATCCATTGTTCTCAGCTGAATTATTTTCTTACTGATTTGCAAAAGGACCAGTTTAGACACCCAGGGAATTTTGGAGGCAGTATGTCCCTCAAATGCAACTGATTGGCATTATCTATCAAAGAGATTGCACAAAGAGGAAGTTAAGCTTCTGAAGGGACACCTCAACGTTTGTGCCAGGACCCCATGTTCTTCTTTCTTAATTGTGCCTGCCATCAGGTGAAGCTCTAGAAACTAGAAAGCTGGTAGTAATATCCATATTCAATATCCCCATGAAGTTGCTACGAGTGTTTTCCTTGTTCTGTTCATTGTGTTCCTATCTATTCAAGGATATGAACTGTGTTTCTTTACAGAAATTTTAAAGGGAACGCTATAGCCTCCATAGAGAAAAATGTATGGAAAGCATATCGCTGGGCTGAGACTTTGTGAGTATGTTCTCTCTAAATATGGATACAAAAAAAAGTAACTGCATCTTAAACTCTTTGGTCCAGTATTAGAGGTCAGAATGTCTTGGAAAAGGTATTTACCCCTTCATGTTAACAAATCAACCTCTACTTATTACAGTTCTAAAACACAGTATTTGCAATGAGACCACTGAAGTTTATTTTTCATCTTGTAAGTAATACATGATTATATTATTTTTTATTTAAGATTTCTTTGCTTTTGTTGGACAAATTATTCTTACAAAGAGGAGAGACAGAAAGATTCTGTATCTGTTGGCTCACTTTCCAAGTGGCCTCCACAGGCAGAGCTGAGCCGAGGTGAAGCCAGGAGCCAAGAGCCTCTGCTGGCTCTCTCTTATGGGTTCAGGGTCCTAAGGCTTTAGGCCATCTTCTACTGCTCTTCCAGGCCCTAAGGTAGGGAGTTGGATGGAAAGTGGAGCAGCCGGGACGTGCACTGGTGCCCACATTGGATCCCAGCTCTTGCAAGATGAGGATTTAGCCATTGAGCTTTCATGCTGGGCTCCATGATTACGTTCTTAAGAGACTAAAAACTGATACACTAAAAATCTTCTTGTAGTGTAACATTCCATCCCTGAAGTAAGCTGCTGTGACTGTGATATACATCGCTCCAGACCTTCTCTTATGTTTTTCTGCACATCATTTAGACACAGGAAAACTAGTGTGATATGTGGGCTTTTTTTTTTTTTAAGATGTAATTGTTTTACTTGAAACTCATTAGAGTTACAGAGAAAGGGAGAAAGATCTAACTTGCATTTAAGTGGCACCCTACTGAGGGTTCCTCCACATCAGAGTTATTCCTGAATAAAAATTGTTGTTATTCTTCATTTTGATCCAGGATTCTCAGTGGAAATTCTTTGACTGAATTACATAAGGATTCATTTGAAGGCTTGCTATTCCTGCAGCACTTGTAAGTTAGTTAAGCACATTTATTTCTGAGATTTTAGTTGTTTTCTATCAAATGAATAAGGTGTTTCAATAATCTCTAAAGTTTCTTCTAGTATTAAAATAACAATTCTGTAAGTATGTATAGGGTCTCATGCATTGAATCCATACTATTCATTTTGAATTCTTCAAGCGTAATAGCTGGGTATTTGGAGGGGTTGGTCAGGGGGAGGAATGCCAAGGATTTGGCCATCTTCCACTGCCTTTCCAGGCATAGAGCAGGAATGTAGATGGAAAGTGGAGCAGTGAACTCAAACCAGGGCCCATATGGGATGTTGGCATGGCAGGGCTGTTTTACCTACTATACCACAATGGACTCCGAATGCCATGCATCTTTATTAGGCCGATTATTGCTACTCTTAGGAAATAGATTCTTCTTTCCAATTTATACAGCTGAAGGACAGTGGGTAGAAACAGCCTTATCTGACACTAACAATAATCCTTTGAATGACCAAGCTCTCTAGGCCTGAAGGGGACAATTGCTTCCATCTTTTTCTTCTGGACTCCCAAACCTTATAGACCTGATCTGGAGAAAAACAGAAGAGATAATAACTATCCAGTACAACAGGCCCTTCCTTGCTTTTAGTGGGAAGTCCTTTGCAAGCTAGTTATTCTCTGTCGGCATCTATCCTGTCATCCCTTTTTAAAATGCCATCATTTTTCATAACTGAAAGAGAATGCTAAGCACGTAGTCTAGTTTGAGGCTCTAAAATGTGTAAGGCAGGCTTCCTACGCTCCTAGGAGCTGCAAGATCGCTTGCAGGGGAAACACGCACAGAAATCAAACATGATCCAACAAACAGGTCGATGACAACTCACTGCAGAGGGTCAGTGGAGTAATGCAACCACATTCCTTAAACACTAGTGATTTAGAAAAAAAAATTAAAAGAAAAAAAAACTAGTAACTTGTTCCTCCTTCCGTTCACTCACTCCTTAGCTATTCCTTTATTTCCTAAGTATCTGAGTTTGCTTTGTTTCCATGAGCCAGGTGGAAACATGGTAAGCAGTGCGCATGAGCAAGGCCAAGTCCATGCTTTCAAGGTGTTTATGCTTTGAAGGAAGGGGAGAGGCAAGGGTAACAATGTGAAAAAGAAAAGGGCACAGACATGATGTGCAAATTGCTTCTGGAGAACCGAACAGGGAAAAGAGACTCCAAGTTGGATCGGGGGCTGTAGCGAGAGTGATATTGGTTAAACAGGGCATCATTGGAAGGACACTGTGTAGAGCCAGTGGGCATCATTGGGAGGACAGTGTGGGGCGATACCCTCAGACCACAGAAGGAAAGTGAGAGAAGGGCAAAACACGGGAGAGTGTCTGAGGAACGCCATGAGTACCTGTGGAGTCCACGGAGGAAAGCCGTAAGGAGTGTGGGGCCACAGCCTCCAGGGCTTTGACTGTCATGCAAAAGTCACCAGCCAGGAGAGCCACGTGTTCCTGGCAGCGGTCTGAAGCAAAACCGAGCCTGCATCAACGTCATCCAGGTGCTTGCAGAACTAGGTTCTGTCTCTACCACCCCAGCCCTGCCGAGTTCCTGATTGAGTTCTAGATCCGGGCCGAGAATTTGCATCTTCGGTGCCTAAGTGAAGCCAGTGTTTGAGAACCACTTCTGGAGAGTTCCAGAAGAGAGACTAGAGATGGAGACAGCCACAGCGGGCAGTTGGCAGCCATGCGGGTGAAAAGTGAGGCAAGCTGGGATCCATGTTACTATGGTCACAAGTGAGTGTTTTCCAACAAGAATCCAGTTCATGCTGTTTTCTGTTCTGCTGCCACTGCGCAGCTGAAACAAATCTGCTTTTACGCAATGTCAAGATGACGTGAAATCAGAAAAGAATTCCTACTAAGGATAATATAATTCTGAATTAATTCAAAATGATGAGTTCATCTGAGGAGTAGCTTCCCTTCAAATGATTTGAAAGGTTCTCTGGTTTATTCTGGAACTGAACTAGTTCCAAAAAGAGAACCACACCAGGCAGGTATAAAAGTAGAATATTCGTCTGAATATTAGAAATTACAGATAGAGGTACAAACTTTGATCTCATTATCTTGAATTTGATGAGACTACTAAAGGTCATCTGATCATATCTCTTGCTGCCAGGAAATTTTCCCTTCAGAGTCTTATCAAGAGCTATAGCCATGCTGTATATTTTATTTATAAAGACCCAGAAGGTGAGACTGTTAGGAGAGGTTATAAGTTTGATTAGGAGCTCTGGAATGTTCAGACAGATGCCCAAAGGTGTAGTTTAGACAAAAACTGCATATTCAACATTAAGAAATACAAATTCTGTTCATTCCTACTCACTAGAGATCTAATAGACATTTTCTTTTTTCTTTTCCCAGGGACTTATCCTGTAACAAATTAAAATTTATTGAACGGAGGACGTTTGAGTCACTCCCCTTTTTGACATCTATGTAAGTTATAATGTCATCTTTGGAATTACAGTAAGTCTTAATTGTAACCCCCCTTGGTAGTCAATCATATTTCGCAATATCATTATAATTCTTACTTGTAGAAAGTTAGCTAGAATTATGTAGCAAATCTTTCTAATCTCCAGAGATATTTTGGGCCAATGTCAGGGTGCTGCGAAATCACCTGCCATGAATTGTTCTAGAACAACTGCCATGTACAGGACAGACCTCCACAAAGAAGAATTACCCAGCTCAAAACTCAAAGTGCTCAAGTTGTGAAACCTTGTTCCAGAGAGAGGAAATGAAAATCACTGAGCACAAGTATTTGTCGTGTGTGGTTTGGTGTACCTAATGCACCGCCTGTGTAGATGTGAAAGTGTTAAGTCAGAAGCCAGAGTCTTCCAACTGGGAAGTCTTGAGTGTGTGGAGGCGATGTTTCACCTGTACAAATTAGGATCACTGCTGAAAGATGAATGTTCTAAAAGAGTAACTTTCTTCTTAATTTGTGTCTTTTCACAGAAATCTTGGTTGCAATTTACTCACAGAAGTGAGTTTTGGCACATTTCAGGCATGGCATGGAATGCATTTTTTGCATGTGATGTAAGTGAAATACAAGATAAACACATATTAAAGAGCTGTGTATATGTAAAATCTATATAGTTATCTTTAGCTGAGTGTAAGTCATGAACAAATTCTGCAAAGTATGGCTTAAGTTCCACTCTTTTTTTTTTTTTTCAAATGAGGACACCAAGGTGCATTGAGGCTCAGGACTTTGTGTGACAGCTGACATGCTCTGCTTTTCCTAGTGCTGATCTTGGCCTTGGGCAAGAGAGCATAGCTAGCAAGTACTACTCCAGTTAGCACTGCTGCCAGAGTCCCCACAGTGCTGCTCGGATTCCCAGTGCTCCTTGAGATTCCAGCCCGAATTTAACTGGGATTGCTGCTCAGTCTGGGGAGCCGAGGTGCTGGTGCTTTCTCAGGGTCACTTTCTTCTAAATGATAAAGCAGAAAGAACAACTGAAAATTCAACACAGTCACCCAGCTCATGGTGTGTTTTGACAAGTGAAGTTATAAACCATCTGTGGGCAAGGGAACTTTTGAAGTAGCAAAGGTGGTGTTTATTTTAAGCTATGATTTGAAAAGTAATAGGAAAGCATTGCTCTAGCCTGATTTTGTGTACATCCAGGGCACACTTGAATGAAATGTTGCAGTTTTATTCCCTCCCTGCTTAACAATTCTGTGATGGTCCACGGCCAGGGGAATTGAGATTTGAGATAGAGATTTTCTTCCAAGCCTGACCTTGGACAAGATAGCCACCTGTCCTGTGGTTCATGATTTCACAGTTCCATTTGCATTCGAGGGAGGGGTTTAAGATGTGCTGGGAGTGAATGGACCAATTCTTGTTGCAGATCCTGGCTGTATGGCCTCCTCCCTCCCTCCATTCATGTGGTGCAGGGTCCCAAGCCTTGGGCCATCCTTCACTGCCCTCTCAGGCCACGAGCATGGAGCCGGATGGGAAGCAGGGCTGCCAGGATTAGAACCAGTGTCCGTATGGGATCCCAGCATGATCAAGCCAAGGACTTCAGTTACCGGGCTACTGGGAAGGCCCATTAAATTATTTTTGTTAATTTATAAATTCTCTGTCATATATATGTATATGTATATAAACTTTTGCACATGTTTATACATAGAGAAGAGGTGTATAATTTTTATCCCATTGCATTTTTCAGAAATCTTGATCAGAATCCATTGACAACTGTCGAAGATCCCTATCTTTTTAATTTGCCAGCATTAAAATATCTGTAAGTATGAAAAATAAACCGCATGAATCATGGGGTGATTTATACTCCTTGTTTTTACTTTGATCAAAATTTAAGTATTTTGCATTGAGGCTAAAAAGTTGCAATTTTAAGTTGAACTGGGCTCCTGGATTAAGAAAAGATGTACAATGTGTAAAACAGCCCCAGCAGACAGTGTTGTTGAGCATATTCAGATACATGTAGATATACAAAGCAGATGAAAAGATATCAAGTAACCAAGGAGTGAAATAGGCAAATGAAAAGGAAGATAATGGCAACAAACCAAACGGTACAGGTTCTGTCCCTCAGTGCCAAGGTCACTGACTTGACAGTGCAGAGTAACTTAAATTTCTTCCATGAGAACTTCCTGGAAGGATCTGCCCTGACAGACTCTTAAGCTGTCTTGTTTTATAGAGTAGCCAAAAGTTAATGCAACTGCATGCTCTTAACTCTTTTTACTTTTTAAAATATCCTAGTTTTTTGTTTCATTTCAATTTTATTAGATTTTGTTCCTTGAAATCATCTTTTTAAGGACAGAACTTTTTCTTGGGGGGTCACATCATGACTGTTTGGGCTTTCTCCCTCAGAGACCTCGGAAGAACACTGGTGTCAATCAGCACAGTTGAGAACATTCTCATGAAGTCTCTCGAACTGGAAAAACTGTAAGTTGTTCTCTTAGGCTTATGTTTTTGTCATTTTGAAGATTTCATTGCTTTCTTGCATCAGAGTTATTCAGGAATAATTTGCACATAATAAAACTTAAGTATGCAGTGTGATAACTTTCATCATTGTATCATTATAAAACCACCACTAAATTCCTAGATTGCTTCTGACATGCCAAAATGGGCCCTCTGGACCCTTTGCAGTCAACCCTTTCCAACCCAGACACCTGTTGCTTTTGCCTTTTCAACATTGCTGTTTTTTTTTTTTTTAATGTTAGAAAGATTTATTTTTATTTAATAGCAGATATACAGAGAAGGAGAGACAAAAATCTATTTAATGGTTCACTCCTGAAGTGGCTGCAGTGATCAGAACTGAGCCAATCTGAAGACAAGAGCCAGGAGCTTCTTCTGAGTCTCCCATGTGGGTGCAGGATCCCAAGACTTTGTGCCATCCTCTGCTGTCTTCCCAGGCTGTAAACAGGGAGATGGATGGGAAGTGGAGCAGCCAGGACATGAAATGGCACCCATAGAGCAACTGGTGCTTGGAGGAGGCGAATTAGGCAATTGAGCCGTTGTGATAGGCCCTCGTCAGTGTCTTTTAAGTCATGCAGTGTATGTAGTAGGCTTTGGTGTTGGGCTTGTTTAACTGAGCACAATCTTTGTGAGATTACGCTATTGCCCTGCCATTGGCTCCAGCAGCAGTGCTGTTGCTGAGCAATATCCCAGTTGTGTGAATAGGCCAGTTTGTTTCAGTCACTCATCAGTTTGCATATCTGGACTTTCTCAATTTTTGCAATAATGAATAAAGCTGCTAAAAGCACTCCTAGGCAGACCTTTGTGTAAACATGTTTTCCCTTCCTAGGTGATAAACACAAGGCTAGGGTCGCTGCAGCAACTACTAACTGCATTTTTTCCTCCTTAAGAAACCATTCAACTGTTTCCTAAAGTGACAGTGCTATTTGCATTGTCACCAGCAGGTTATGGGAGTTGTGATTGCTCCTCTTCTGGTTGCAATCTGTGTGTTTCCATTTCAATTTATTTTATAGTGAGTGGGCAGTGTGGCACAGCAGTTAGAGATGGCTGTTCTCTCCCTGAAACTGTCTGCAGGAAGCCTTAACTCATAAGACAATCAGCTTGGCTATCTTTCACTGCAAGATTTTGTTGTGAGAAAATTCATACCTACATGGGGCCCAGGGTTGTGGCACAGCAGCTTAGGAGTGCTGGTTTAAATCCTGGCTTCTCTGCTTCTAACCCAGTTTTCTACTAATGTGATTGGGAAGGCAACAGAAGAAGACCAAAGTGCCGGGGGTAGGAGACTCAGATGGAGCTCCTGGCTCCTGGCTTCAGCCTGGCCCAGCCCCATCGGAGGATGGAAGATTAACTCTCTTCCACTCTCTCTTGTGGTATGTGTGTGTCTGTCTCTAACACTCTACTTGTCAAGTAAATATTTTTACCACTGTATTTTTTTAATTATAAATAATCAGTCTCTTATGGATGTTTGATTAATGGATTACATCACAAGATCTTATTACACAATCGCTTCTCCACCTTTTGTCTAAGATTGAGTGAAGATCTTATTACTCAAAGTACAGGTAAGTATGAAGTGACATAGAGTAAGATTCACATATAATATCCCTAGATTTGACATCATACTATATTAGAGCAAATATATGATACCTGACCTTTTGGGATTAACTCATTTCCCTTAGCATAATGGTCTCTAGTTTGGCCCATTTGTCCAATAAATATTGTATTTCATTTTTTAACACCCAAGTAGTATTGCATAGTGTAGATGAACCACAGTTTTTTTATCCAGTCCACTGTTGGTGGGCATTTAGGTTGTTTCCATGTTCTTGCAATAGTAGATTGTGCTGCAGTGAACATTGGCGTGTGTGTTGCTTTCTCATGTAACAAGTCTTTTGGATATATTCCTAGTAGTAGTGGTATTGCTGGGTCATATGGTAGGTGGATTTTTAATTGCCTAAGTGTTCTCCATACTGACTTCCACAGTGGCTGCACCAGCCTGCATTCCCACCAGCAGTGGAAGTAGGGTTCCTTTTTCTCCGCAACCTTGCCAGCAGGTGGTGTTGGTAGTTTTCTGCATGTGGGCAATTCTTTCCGGTGTTAAGTGGAACCTCAGTGTTGTTTTTAATTGGAATTTCCCCTATTGCCAGAGAGCTTGAGCATTTCTTCATGTGTCTGTTAGCCATTTGAATTTGTTCCTTTGTAAAGGTCTGCCCATTTACCCCTGCCCATTTCTTGACTGGTTGGTTTGTATTATTGTTCTGGAGTTCTCCCTTTGTCTCCCATGTAGTGTGCAGAGATCTTCTCCCATTCTGTTGATTGCCTTTTTACTTTGCCTTCTGTTTCCTTTGCTGTGCAGAAGCTTCTTAGCTTAATGAAGGTCCCATTCGTTTATTTTGGTCTTGGCTTCCTTTGCTTTTGATGATTTTTCCAGGAAGTCAGTACATACACCTATATCTTGTAGAGTATTTCCAACTTTTTCTTCCAAACGTTTGATGGTTTCTGGGTGTAGATTTAGATTTTATCCATTTAGGTTTGATCTTTGTGTGTGGTGAAAGGTGTGGGTCTTGCAGACTATTACCAGTTATCCCAACAGCATCTATTGAAGAGACCTTCCTTTTTCCCAGATTGTTTTCTGTTTTCTTGCTGAAGATTAGATAGTTGTGCATGTGTGGCTTCCCTTCTGGATTTTCTATTCTGCTCCATTGAACTACCACTCTGTTTCTGTACCGGTACCAGGCTGTTGTGATAACTACCACCCTATAATATGTCCAAAGATCTGGGATTGTGATCCCTCCCGCTAGGCTCTTATTCTTCAGGATGGTTCTGGCTAGTCGTGTTTTTTTGTGTTTCCAAATGAACCTTTGTGTCATCTTTTCCAGCTCTGTGAAGAATGTTATTGGTATTTTGATTGGAATCACATTGAATGCATATTTTGCTTTTGGGAATGTGGGCATTTTGATGATGTTGACTTTGCCCATCCAGGAACATGGTATTTATCTCCACTTTTTTGAAGTCTTCTATTTCTTCTCTTAACGTTTTGTAGTTTTCCTCATGGAGATCTTCCACATCCTTTGTTAAGTTTATTCCCAGGTGTTTCATTTTCTTCTCTGTTGTGTATTCTCATTTTGGTTACCTTCTATTCTGAAATTCTTTCCTCTGCAGCACTGAATCTGTTGTCAAGCTTGCTGCCATATTTTTCAGTTCTGAAATTTCATTTTGGACCCGTTTAATTTCTGTGAGAACTCTTTGAGCTCTTCCCAATACTTCTCATTGTCTATGAAGAGTTTCATGTTAATTTTTTAATATTCCTTTTCCGGTAGTTCCTCAATGTCTTTTTCTTGCAACTCTGAGACAGGTTATTTTTTGGTCATTTTTGGGGGGAGTACTGGCTCTTTCATCTGAATAGTTTTTCTGGTACTTCTTCCCATTGTTTTGTGCTTTCTTGTCGTTTTGCGATTTTAGCTCTGGTGTGCTTTGGGGGCTTCTGGGAGCACTGAATCTGTCAGCTGCTCTGTGGGTTGTGAGGCCTCTCAGCCAGCCAGGTAACTAGGATGTTTGTCAGCTGCTGCCACCTTGTGGGCGACCAGTGCTTTCACTCTCCTCATCATTTGCGTTTCCCAGTTTCAGGCAGGGTGTGGAGCTTTGCGACGGAAAGCCTGCAAATTGCAGTTCTGTGTGCAAGCCCCTGCTGCCCGGCGCCTTCACAGCCTCTGCCCGCTGTGCAGTTGCCGAGAGTGGAAATGACCCAGCCTCTGCTACACAGTGTGCAACCAGTGGCTGGGATCTCCGCACTCTGGGGTGCACCACGCCTCATCTCCAATGGGCAAGCGCCGGCTCGGGGTTATGTGGCTTTGGTTTGCCCTGGAATTTGTACCTGCACCGCTGGGTTCTCCTGCGGTCTGCTGGGTATTGGCACTGACCTACCCTCATGCACTTTTGGAGTCTGCTCTTACGCTGCTGGGTCACTGAGAGAAACCTCTGACCCTGGGGCTCCCACATCTCTGTGTTGGGGGATTCTGGCATCCCTCTGGGTGGCCCAAGTCTGAGAAACCTTGGGTGGGGATGGTCTCAGGTCTTGCCTACTGTATCTCCAAACTGCACCCTTCACTTCCCAACTATCCTTTCTCCAATGCCGTTCCCTCCTCTGGGAGAGGCTGCTCATATCTGTGCCTATAGCTTCCTCATTGGGCCATTTTTTTAAATCCCACCAGTGTCCTGATCTGAGAGTCCTTCTGACTCCCTCTGTCTCTTATGGGCAGGCTAAGGCTCCTGCTGGTGTCTTCCCTGCAGCGATTCATGACTCACCAGGTTTTGAGTCCTTGCCTGTCCCGGATGGTATCCTGGTATCCGTCTCCACAAGCTCAAGCGGCAGGTTGCCATCCTGAGAGTTCTTCCCGGTTCTCTCTTGCCTGTGTGAAAGTTGCCTCAGTTTCGCCGACTCCAGGGAGCTTCGGACATCTTTTCCTGCAATTCTGCACTTCCTGCTCTCTCTTCTGCTTAATTCTGTCCCTATCTCTCCACACACTCAGCGGCACCCTCAAGTAAATATTTTTACAAATTCAAACTTACTAGACAGAATATAATGGTTGCCCATATACCTGTCACATAGATTTGGAGTAGCCTGTCTTCTTCCCTTCCTTATTCTCTTCTTCCCGCCTTCCCTTCCTTCTTCCTTCAGACAGTTTCACAATAATGCCAGAGATGAAAGCATAATTGAGACCATAAATAAGGTATAGACATATGTATATACAATGAAGTCATCACCCAACTCCAAATGTCTACCACATCAACAGGTCCTTATATCTCTTTGGAACCCTCTGTTCCATCACTCTTGCTCTCCCCGGTGCCTGTGTAAGTCTCAGCATCTTTCTGTTACTATCATATGCATTTTCTAGAATTTTATATGAATGGAATTATATGCTATGCACTCTTTCTAATCATCTTTATTTATGTAATACGATTAAGACACGACTGTTGTCTGTTGAAATAGCTCATTTCTTTTTCTAGTGGAACAACATCTCATTATGTGAACTCAGTATCATTTATCCACTCATCTGTGGCCAGACACTTGGGTTCTTTCCATTTTTGGCTATCCCAAATGAAGCTGTTACAAGAGCAGCAGTAAGCCACCACCTGGGACACTCATACTCACATCAAAGTGATTGAATTCAAGTGCCGGATTCATTTCCAACTCTGGCTTCCTGCTAATGTGCACCCTGGGAGGCAGTAGCTGATGGCCCAATTTATTGGGTTCTTGCCTCCTATGGGGGGGAGACCCAAGTTGGGTTCTGGGCTCCCAACGTCAGCCTGGCCAGCCCTGACTGTGGTAGATATTTGGAGTGAACCAGCTGATGGAACGTTTCTGTTTTTCTCTCCACCTTTCAAATAATTTTTAAAAATATGTCTCAAGAAAAGCTTTTAATCAAATTAGTTTCAGAGTATTCATAAAAACTTTAAGACCTACCATATGTTCCAGCTATTCTACTTCTGAGTATTTATTAAGCTTTACCTGACACCTCCCAGGGTGTTCACTGGAGGAAGGGGAGACAGGATTCAAACCCAGGTGCATGGAATGTGGGTTGCTAAGCAACATATTCACCATTGGGCTAAATGCCTACCCCTGGCAAACTTTTTGTAAACCCCAACATTGACTGAGAGATCCTTTTACTCTGTATCTTTCTTCAGCAATTGCTAGAGTCAGTCTTTTCTGCAGCTAGAGTAATTTCTAATATTAGATCCTTCGAACAGCAGATGAGAAAGGCACTCCCAAGGCTGGGGGCTCTGACTCCTTCTCACAAGTCTGACATTATCCCAGAGTGAGACTTGTGAGCTGGGAGGAGATACTCCTGAGTGACAGTACTGACCAGTGGCACTCGCTTCCAGCCCCTGTCACCTTTATCCCGAGCATACCACACCCCCTGCCTTGCTTACCTTTCTGTTGGGCACCTCTGCATCCTTCCCATATTTGCAACATTTAAGAGCAGCACTTGGTCATCAGGTTCCCAGCCACATAGCCTGATGCCACATCTCAAGATTACCTTTTTCACAGCCTTGGCCTGCCTCTTGACCTACTCAGATAATCCTTTAATTATTAGCTGAATTTTCTGTGTTTCCTTTTAACAGGATCTTACCGAACTCCATGGCCTGCTGCCTCTGCCAATTTAAAAAGGATATTGAGGCTGTCTGCAAGACAGTCAAGCTGCACTGTTGCAGTGAGTGTCTGACAAACACTCAATCTTGTGGTGAGTCTCAAATGCCTGGTGATTTTAATTTCTTATTTGTAAATTAGGGATAAACGCTTAAAGCTATTATGTAATTATTTTAGTTCATTCCTTCAGAGTAAAACTCTCAATTTCTGAACTACTCTCTCAATGAACATCAGGCTCCCAGTGACTGATAGGAAATTTGATGCTCTAACTGTTCCTTGTGCATAAAGAATCACAGGAAAGAAATGGAAGGGAAGGAATTAACGCTGAGGGCCACATGGTGCACTGTGCTCTCAGCTTGGTGCTTTGCTTCCATGAGCACTCATTTGTGCACTGCACCACAGTGTGTAGCCTGCTTTTATACACAGTAGGCCTCCAGTGCCTCTGCCCTAGAGAACAGGTGTAGAACATTGTTGTTGGCTTGTTTTTGCAATTGTGGAGAAGAGTATAAGTGACACTGCTTTATTCTGAGCCTGGGAGTTGGTGGTTCCAAGACAGGCGTGGCTGCCTGGCTCCTCTGATGGAGTGGAATGCCATCCACCAGTAGACAGCCCAGCTCTGAACCTGCTCCGAGGCTCAGGCTTCTCATTGGGCAGTCACCCAGGGACTTTGCTGTGGTTTTCCGGATATCTGGAGTCCCACTAAGTAAGTAACTAAACTCCACCAACTAACTTGAAGTCCCACTAATGTTGGGATTCCAGACAAGACTGCTCTATTCTCCCTAGAGCTTGGATACACATCTCTGTCAGGATCCAGGACTTCAGCATACTAGTGAATGCCAAACAGTGCTGTTTGTTGTCGAGCACACTTTTCCACCTATTAACCCCTTCTCTCCAAGAGGGGGCAGAACAAACAATTTAATGGACTCACAGAGAGGAGAAACAAGATGGAGGCATGAAGGGATGAAGCCAGACACCCGGTCTTCTGTCCACCGTTGACTCTCCACGCACTCATGTTCCTTCTTTGTCATGACGCTCACCTCCTCCTCTCACTCTCACAGCAGGGCCTGGGAGAGAAGCCCAGCCACACAACAGCACACTTGACCTTCCTGCACTTGGAAGTTTGAAGGCTTCCGCAAGTCAAGCTGGAAATACTAGAAATAAAAGCAAAAACTGGCATTTGCAAAAGCAGCTTCTTCCCCCCCCCCTTTTTTTAAAGACTTATTTATTTTTATTGGAAACTCAAATTTACAATGAGAAAGGGAGACAGAGAGAAAAACTTCTATCCACTGGATCACTCCCCAAGTGGAAGCCATGGCCAGAACTGAGTTGATCTGAAGCCAGGAGCCATGAGTTTCTAGTCTCCCACCTGGGTACAGGGTCCCAAGGGTTTGGGCTATCCTTGATTACATTCCCAGGCAACAATCAGGGAGCTCAATGAGAAGTGGAACACCTGGGATACAAGCTGGTGCCCATATGGGATCCTGGTGCATACCGGGTGAGGACTTTAGCCACTAGGCTACCACACCAGGGCTCCAGCCTCTTTCCCTTTTACATTTTAGGGCATTGAGCAACATTTACCCAGACACTGCTACCATCCCAGAGAGCTCACAGAACAATCTGTGCATACGTACCACCTAGCAACCCACAGACCACTCCACCTACATCCCAGACCCCTGGCCATATTTAAAGACCAAGGGTTGATGCGGTGGTTTTCTGTATGAGGAACCTTCCGTGATAAGGGCTAGGAAACATTGAGCAGAGACCAAGTAACTGTTGCCTTGGTGGAAAAGGACACATCCAGAGGAGGAGTAGGCCCCTGTTTTAGCATCTGTGCCTTCACTCCCCTCATGTGAATGTGTCTGGCCATGGTCACCTGTTGACAGCAGCAAGAAGGCAAGGTCGCTGGAGAGGGGGAGAGAGGAAGCCTTGTGCCCCCTGGGTGTCTGAGGCAGGACGGTGCAGGATGTGTCTGTGAGGCAGGCACTTCCACAGGGGCCAGCTGCATGGAGACTGTCTCCCGGCCATGGGCTTTTACTGGGTGCTGGGCAGTTGGCCACTGGGGAGACAAGGAACAACCCTAAACAGTGACTGCTTTTTCATACTCAGGACTCTTCTGATTACACTCTTTTTAAAAATCACTTTTTTCTTCCTTTCTGTTGCTGCCATTTCATAGACTTAAGCTTGGGTTAATTTTTCTTCCTATGTGGTAACCAAATCTTGGTGATTCCGAGCCTAAACTGCTGGGGATGTATATCTGTACACTGACACTCAGTTTCCTGGTAACGAAAGCATCCTCTTCCTTTCTGACAGTACCAGAACCAACGACGGGGAATCCCAAAGCGGAATTCCTGAAGATACTGCAGGCCCGGAAGAGGAACACTAGCACGAAATTAATTATTGAAACAGAGAGTTCAAAGAAACATAAGTTTGGCATTCTAGACTCTACAAGTGAGCGACTAGACTTAAATGAAAAAGATGTTATCAGTTCACTAAATTACGTATTGCCTTATTTCTCAGGCAGCAGTGTAGAAGACATAGAGTCGGTGTTACTACCCTACATTAAATTGTTCTTTTCCAGTCCACAAGAAGATAGATCTGTGGATCAGTTGAAAACCAAAGCAAAAGACTTGTCTTTAAAATCTACTGAACGTAAAATGAGAAAGATCCACTTTCTGAAAAATTTGATAAACTACAAAATTCAACAAAAAATGGATGACATTAAAAAAACACAAAAAGCTGCCATGCTGATGCAGCAGGAGACAATCAGGAGGAGAGAGAACGCGCGCCCCCTTGTGGAGGGCACCGTGCAAGGCCGGCTGGGGAGCGCAGGAGCCAGGGAGCAGGAGGAGCTTCATGTGGCCCAGAGGCCCTGGCACCTGGTGGCCAACTCCTTCTACCCAGAGCCCCCACTCACAGAGGAGCACAATGCCAGGGACGCCTCTTCCCTGGAGAGGTACATCGTGGGCAGGCCATCTGCTGCAGCCCGTGCAAAGTCTCTCTCTGAACCGGAAAAAACATTGAATATTTTAAAACTGGCAAAAATGAGGACAAAAAAGGCAGAGACAGCAGAACCAAACACAGATTGCCATTTCAATAACATTGATCTTGCTCCCGTGTTCAAAACCCCCAAAGCCAAACGGAGACTGAAGATGAAAAGGAAAAATCCCATCAACACATGGAGCTCTGTAAAGAGGCCTGCGTTCCTTGCCCTACAAAGTCTCATCGATTCCCCTCCCCAAGAGCCTTCTCCCTCTTCTGGAGACTCGAGTTCTCAGGAATTTCCTTCTCCGAAAGCGATGGCTCTTCCAGTACCACATGCAGAAGATATTCTTGAAGCCAGCCTTGCTGCAGCAAATAACTTTGGAAACACTGTGCCAGAAGAATCTCCCCCTGCCAGCACAGCCCAGGGGCATCCATTGGCCACTGGTTCCCCTGAGATTGCCCCCACTGAGAAAATGCAATGGGGGAACCCTAACATGGGCAGGGACATCCCCTCCATGCCTACAGGCAGTACTTACCCCTTGCAGCCATCCCCAGGGGACCAACTGAACCAGCAGCTTCGGTCCCTCATCCCCAATAATGACGTGAGAAAATTCATCTCAGAAGTTATCAGGACTCTGCAGATGGACTGTGCGGACCCCCAGGTGCAGCTGTCCTGTGCCAAGCTCATCTCCAGAACGGGCTTCCTCATGAAGCTCCTCAGTGAGCAGCAGCAAGTGAAGGCCAAGGCAGAATGGGACACAGCCCGCTGGAAAGAAGAGGACTACATCAGCGAGAGCCCAGGAGGCCAGACTGATGCAGGAATGATCGAGCCAAGTGAGGTGAGGACGGCCACGAGACAGGAGAGCTGCCCTTTCCCTTCGCTCAGGAAGTGTCATTAAAGCACCAAGGAGGAAGAACAGGGACTCCCAGTCCATATCTTGCATTGGGCACATAACTTTGGCCAAGGTGGCAATTTCCCACTTTGCTCCTTTAGAGAATGAAGCAGACCCGGCAAGCTAGATGAACTGTAGAGTACCCGTGTGATAATTAGATCATGTAACTTTGGATCTTATGTGGTCTTGAAGATCCTATAAGCCACTCACCTGGAAGAATACGGGCTGGAATAGTTAAGTGTTCATGCTATCTCTTTATTTGATCTCTTTTCATTGCTCTTTTTCTTTTAGCTCAAAGAAGTCCCAAGATACAAAATACTCATCATGGCAATATCTGTCACTGTGGCAGTGATAATATTAATAACGGGAGCCTGTCTCGTTGGGGTAAGGACAACGATTCACTTAGGTTTCTAGAACATCCTTTTTTTTTTTTTTACAACAGATTTGAATGCAGAGTGAACATCAAAGCCACTTGCCCACATACTGCCAGTTGACGTTCTTCTATGGTCACAAAGACATACTCTCCTGAAAAGCATATGCTTGAGATTTTGAATAGACCCTACTCCCAGGAAATCTCAGTGCAACTGGAAACTAGGTAGCAAGCCAAGCCACTGGCTATTGTGAGAGGTGGAAGACCAGACTTCATAGATAACAAGATTTCCCCACAGCTATGTCAACTGTTTGATGTGCTTACCACTTCCCTCTCTGCTCCTGTTGGTCTCTCTTCTCGTTGTTGAAATGATGAGCGCTGTATCAGCACCCTCACCTCACAGAATGGTTACTGTCCTCAGGACACTACCAGAAAACATGTTAAAGATTCTACCTGTTCTAATACATAAGGCAGGTCTAAAGACAGGTTGTTTATGTACCTGAATGTAACTGAATCCTGCTTCCTAAGCTGAACCCTGAGGTGTGCTGTATTTATCCTATCCCATTCCTGGAGCCTGACTCTGTTCACCTATTGTTCAGTTACATAAAGTGCATTACTTTTCCCAACAGGAAAGGGCTTCAATATGAAGTCATTGAAAGATCTGACAGTCTTGACTCTACCCTAGCAGTCCAACCCAGTTTACTTCACTGACACTCTTCCTGTCATGTCAGCCCTGTCTGTGTTCCTGCCTGAGTGGCCCCTTACCATACCCCAGCCACACCATGGCCATTCCTACTTTCACCTGTGCCTTTTCTACCTAAAATTCCCTCACTTCATGGCATGCCTTGACTCCTCCAACTCTCTTGGGACTAAACCTTCTGTGAGATGGATCATCGTTTCTGTGAAACCCCAGGGAGGTATTTCCTCTCCCCTGAGAACTTTAAAAATGTGGCAGTTTTCACAAAGGGAAGTGCCAAGGTCAACACGCGAGGGAGTACAGCAAAGGTATATAAGGACTAAAGAGCTTCCCAGGTCTATTGGCCTCCGGTAACACCCGCCTAGTGTATCACTGTTTCTAAAGGCAGACATGCCAGCCACAGCAGGGGATGGTGACAGGAGCACAGAAAGATGAGAGCCCACCAGCATGCTAGTGGCCATCCTGACATTGCACTAGGGCAGAGGGACAGCCCCAGGCAGATGTGGAGGCAGCCCCCTGGTGAGGCTGCGCCTCTGCAGGAGAGGGACAAATCTGGCCACTCCAGACCTTTCCATTAAATGCTGGGTTCAGCTGATTCCTTTGCATCTTTGTCCTTCCCAAGTTGCCTTCTGATGGTGCTTGAGTGTGCCATGGAGGCCTGCCCCTGCAGAGGCAGCTCCCTGGTCATGCAGTCACAGCTGTTCTGTCTTTTCACTCAGGCTGTGCTGCTGATCAGGTGAGGTTGTTTCCAGTGAGTTTGCTGTTTGTGAAAACAGTCTGATTTCTGAGCCCTGGAGCTGGGAGCCACATGGGGTCAACTGCCAAGGGGTCGGTGGAGACAGTATCCTGGATATCTCCAGGTGGCCCCTGGTCTTTGCCTTCGGGGAAATGGCTGAAATTTTGATCAAGTCCTGCGTTATTTTAATGTGTATGTTTAGTTCTGGCTTACTTCTCTTTGTATTCATTCATGTTTTCCTGAGTTCCTCTCCCCAGTTAGATGAGAAGGTTTGTGAGGTCAGGGAGTATGCAGAGTTTTGCCTGTATTAGAAAGATAGTCAGTGTTCAAAGGATCAGAGTTAGGTACAATGTCAAGTTTACGGTGAAGAAGAATGCAATATAATATTCATTTGAAGCAGCATACAGAGTTGAGAGTTCAGTAATACATAGACATGTGTGTTCCTAAAACTTCTGCAGTGTTGCCTCTAGCCTAATCAGTTTGAGAAAACGCTGCCTAGCTGCCTAAGAACTTAGGGTGAATGGCAGACAGTGATAGATGGATACTTCTCATCCTAAATGTATTTCAGTTAATGTCTTTAAAAAAAAGGACAAAAAGATACTGAGAATAATTTTCAAGCAGTATTTTTCAGTCTTGGGATGGAAAAGAGCTTTCTAAGCCCAGTGGCATAGGAGAAACCTTTGAAAGATTTGTCTGCCTGTGTGTGACACTGCTAGCTGACTCAGCACTTGGGGAGGTCAGGCTTGGGGCAGAGTCTCCCCTGTGTTCTCAACTTAGCCCTTGCAGCAGTTCCCCTTTCACAGGTCATGGCAATCAAGCTATGGGCCCAAATGACAAAGCCAACGTCAGACCCAGATCTCTTGACTGCAAAGAATGCATTCCTCATTCCCTTTGTTCTCTTTCCCTTCCTTACAAACACACTGAGAAATACTGGAAACACTTGAACAAGAAAAAGGCCACCAAAGAGATTAATATATTTATTGTATTAAAAAAAAAAAAAAAGGTTTCTAAACCAACAACAGCAAAATAAAAGCTAACATCCCAACAGAAGGGGGCGCACTCTGGGATGGATAGGGAGTTGCTAGCACACATCCCTGCACCTGCCAGTCTCACATTTTGCTGATGGGATCTGAGTTTTGTTAGGTTCTTGAAACTGATAGAGTAGTAGCATATTTTCTTCTAGGACTCTTGTAACATTTTGTTCTAATTTCTATTTTGTAATCCCTCGAGTTATTTTTCAATATGATTGAAGTAGGGAATCTATCTTATCTTTCTCTACATGAGTTTCTAAATCTTCTAAAATAATTTTTCTTTGAACAGTTCACTCATTCCTTACCAATCTAAAATATCCTGATCTGGACTCTGCTCTTTCCGTCGACTCTGTGGTCTTTTCTTCCACCCATACCTGTATCACACAGGTAAACTCCAGTCACTTTATGGCTTAGTTCTGAGTTTTATATTTGTTAGAGCGAGCTCCTGCTCTCTCATGTTTCTTGCACTATTCTTGCCCATCATTCCCCACTGAATGGCAGCCAGTCAGTTTTGTAAAAATGTATCTTCAGATTTGTATAAAACTGAATTGAATTATTTTGATTGATTGATTAATTTGAGGAGAATTGACATAATCACAACATTATAGGAATGCAAGTCTCATGGCTTTCAAAAGGGCTTTAGTGTTTTCATTACACAATCTTATACATCTTTTGTTGAGCTTATTCCAGGATAAGCTTTAATCCTTTTTGTTGGTTACAAACGGGACCCTTCTTGCGTTTTCCCATTGGTTGTTGGCAGCACACAGGAAAGCTACCACAGCATGTATGTTGATCTCTTGACCTGGTGTCTGGCCAACTTTCGGGACTCGCATATTACTTTCCACAAAAATGGTAGTTGATTTTCTTGGGTTTTCTGAGTTGTCCATCATTTCACATTCAGATGACATCTGTTTTGTCTTCCTTTGTGACACAATACTGTATTTGTCTTTTTGAAAAATTGATACTCAAGATTTACCTATTCTTATTGGAGAGACAGTGCTGTTCCACCCATCGGTTCACTCTAAATGTCTGCAACAGCCAGAGCTAGTCTGAAGTCAGGAGCCTGGAGTTGCTGTGGGTCTCCCACACAGGCACAGGAGCCCAAGCACTTGGATCATCCTCTGCTGCTTTACTCAGGCTGTTGGCTGACAGCTGAATCAGAAGTACAGCAGCTGGGACTCGAGCCATTGCACAAATGGGATACTGCACTACAGGTAGAACTAAACCTAAACACCATTGCACTAGTCCCTATTTTAGGGCCTCCTCAACAGTGGTAAATAGTAGCAATCCTACTAAGCAGCCTAGTCTCCTTGACTTCTCGGTTTAGTTTTCTGATCCAATTAAAGATGCTTCATCTTTTCCTCTTCAAAGAGGTTTCATGGAGAATTGTCTGCTGAAAGTTATCTAAACAGCCAGTAAAATGTATTAGGCGCCAGATGCATACAAAAAGAAAGGCATGCAAATGATCTGGACATTGTGGTCACTGTGTTGCATAATAATGGCTGTGTCTTCTTCCAAAACAGATTTACTCTCACAGGGCAAGAGCCAACGCCGAGGAGGAGGACATAAGAAAAGGTCTAAGGTAAGTACCAGCCCAGTAATGTGTGAAATGAAACTCGAGAACTAGAAGAGAACACATGGATTCCAGTCACCTCATTGTTTAGTGAGATCTCCACAGACAGGAAGCATACTTCACAGCTGGGGTAGACAGCACCACCATGGCACCTCTGCTGTCCCCAGTCCTTCTTGGATGCAGGGGCTGGGGAGGGACTCCAGCTGTGCCATCCCTGCAGCTGACAGTACTTTGACCATACCAGAGGGCTTCCTGAAGGCTTCCAGCAAGGGCTAGGGGAGTCTGTGTTGCACTGTGGGAGGAGCTGGTCTCCTTAAAGAAGGCAGGAAAAGTTCTTCTCATCCTGCTTGTCTTTATTTTTTTTAATCTGTTTTTCTTTTTTTTTTTCTTTAAGATTTACTCTATTTTTATTAGAAAGACAGATTTACAAAGAGAAGGAGAAACAGAGAAGGATCTTATGGGTCTCCCGTGAAGGTACAGGGTCCCAAGACCTTGGGTCATCCTCCACTGCATTCCCAGGCCACAGGCAGGGAGCTGGATGGGAAATGGAGCTGCCAGGACACAAACTTGTACCCATCTGGAATCCCCGCAAATGCAAGTCGAGGATTTAGCCAATGAGCCATCACACTGGTCATGTCTTCTCTCTTCTAACCAAGCTTCTAAGAGCTTTAACTGGAAGAGATCTTCAAACTAAAGAGAAGTCTGTCTCTTCATTGTATGACAAGGAAACGAGAAAGAGGCAGCATCTTGGCCCCAGGGTCATACTGTTAACATCAGAGGAGGGTCTCTTCCCAGCTGGGGCTCCTCCCTGGCTTGTAAGGGTTTGGGGCTGTGAGCTACGTTTTCTGTCAGAAATCAGCACACATGTACCACACAGGCACAGTTGCTGAAAACAATGCACTCTCCTGTTCTGCTGGATTCATAAGGGGTATCTTGGTGTCAGTGCGAGCCTCATCCTTTAACTAATTTCACTAATCACTCTCCCATCAGTGACACCTGCAGTGTGAGGCTGCATGAGCTAGGTAACTGCTGTCAGACTCAGGCCCTGCCTGATGTGATTCAGTTTACAGGGGTCAAGGACTGTGCACATAGAGGCACCTTCTCCCTCACCCCCAGGTGAAGGAGGCATGTGAGACTCAGTCCAGGTGGGGCTGGTGCCAGATGCTAAAGGAGGGAGACAGTGCACGTGCCCCATGTGGTTGTGCGGTCTGTCACTGCACAAGGGCGCTTGGGGAAGGCAGTGGTTGGGGCTGACGACCTCACACAAAGCAGTGGTTCAAGTTGGCCCTTAGCCACTGGGGCACCTTCAGGCAGATCGGAGAGCTCCCAGAAGCCCAGATCCCAGGTCTGTGGTGATTTTGCTTTGTGGTATATGTGGGACAGGGACACGTTTTGTCCCGGGCACACTGATTGGCTTGGGCATTTGTTTTCCCCTTCCCCCAGGGACCTTTACAAAGATTCCCTCAAGGGAAGACGGGAGAAGAAGCAGGTAAACTGGGGGACACAGTGTGTCGCTGGAGGGAGGGATGGTGGGAGTAGGGTCAAAACATGCATTCCCCTCCCCATTCCTAAGGGTGCTAAACCTCCTGCATTTTCCTAGGTGGGCTTCTTGGTGAGGTGGCTGCGCTGGCTGAGGGGTGAGCGCAAACCCCGCCGGGCAATGAGCCAGAAGGAACTGGCTCAAAGATTGTATAATGAAACCTCTGACGAGGAAGCAATCTTCGTGAGAGGGGCAAGGTAAATGACAGACTGCCTTCCCCACGTTACCTAACGGGAGCAAACGGGGCGGGCAGAGAGGAAAAGTGGCCTGTTCTGTTCCCCACAGCATGAGCGAAGGCCCGGGCGAGATGGCGGCCGCTGAGTCGACTGCCGAAGGAGAAGGCGAAGCCCCTGAGGAGGTGCTCACCGAGTAAGCCCTTTTGCTGGGGCTGCCTCCATTTATAAAAGCACTTCCCTTCTAATATTCGTGTGTGTGGTATTCATAAGCCATCCCAGCCAAGAGGATAAGAAATGAAAGTCTAAGTTTTATACAAACCACAAGGCCACAGGCAAGAAAGGCTGGTCTGCATCTAGAAGCCTCCGAGGTAGAAAAATCCTCCCTTGGCGGCACCATGGGCACAGGACGAACAGGGGTCCCACCACATGCCCCCAACAGTCAGGTTCTAGGACATGAACATGTCAAACACCGGGCATTCCAGTGCCTTCTCCCCTGGCTTATTAAGAACCAGTCATTTACCACAGAGGACCTGCCACACTGGCCCCTCTGAGGTCTTTCAGGTTGCCTGGATATTTGGATGTTGAAGCCTCGTGCCCTGTGGCGACCTGTCCTGCCTTTTCCCCAAGCCCACAGCCTCAAATGTGAATGTGTCTCATGCTGTCGGAAGGGGCACTTGTCCTTACAAGTCAGTGGGAAAGTTCTCTGGTCTGGCTTTCTCTGCATGCTGGCCCAAGTTACCTCACAACGTTCCTTGCCAAGAAGGAAAAACACATTGTTCTCGCCCGCTGACTTCAGTGAGCCAGCTAACATTCCTGAGTGTGAAACACAAGACTAAGCAGTGGTGGCAGTGGGTGGCTATGGGGACCACCATTTCTGATTTGTTTACTTGGGGCCTAGCCCTGGAACAGGCATTTCTCAGTCTTGTATCTATCCCAGGAATCCATGGACTAGAGTTTTCTGTTTGGTCTTTAGACATCATTTCCTAGAGAAGGAAACAGAGCCCAAGGAACAGAGGTGACCCGCCCTAGGCCACACATCCACAAGGGAGGACTTAACCCAAGGCTGTCAGACTCCCAAGTTTCCTACACCATTCTGCTCCTCCCCTCTAGGATGCAGGGAGAAAGGGCTGCCATCCAGGTCAGTAACCTTGGTAGCCACACAGATGGAAAGACAGGGACCACTGCTATTTACTAAACACCAGCATGGCCAGGTATCATCCTGGACAGTTGTGTCACATCAGTAAGTCACAAGGACATCAACTCTCCCCATGCCAGCTCCCACTGCATCCCTGGGGGATGTTCATTTTAACGAGAGTGTAGGATATAAAGAGGAGCTGAACATGTAAAGGATAAGAAAATTCATGTGGATGGCCACACCTTAGGGAAGCTTTAGCAGTAAGATAGAAGTTACCTGTGGTAGAGCACCTGGCTTCTGCCAGCACTGGTAGGCTGGGGGCCTCAGGGTGTGGGATTTCAGGGAGCCTGGGAGTGGTGCCAGCAGGTGAATGCAGGAACCTGGGACTTGTGTCCAGAAAAACAGAGTGAGCCTGAGGATTTCTGCATGTACTTGATCCCAGGCAGGGGCTCGGGGTATAGAATGTGGAGGGGAGAGCCCTAGGTTAGCATGCTGGGGTGGCATGCTGGTGGACTGGGCTAGGGGAACTGTGAACATGCTTGGATCTTGGGTGGGCAGAGGAGTAGGAAACAGGCCGGTATGCATGCCTGGAGCCTGGGTCCCTGGTGGGCCGGCAGAGCTCAACACCAGCACACCACCACCCCATTGGAAGACTGGGCTGGGGAACCCATGTGTTCCTGGCGCAGGGACTGTGGATTGCTCAGGGAAGAGGGTATGGGGATGTGTGGGAGGGAGGAATGCTGAGGAAGTATGTTGCAAGTGAGGAATGACTTCTGGGGGACCTCAACCAAGACCACCACTATACTTGGCTCAGTGAGGGAGCTGAGGCTGAGCAGTTGGAGGAGGGAAGCTAGAGGACCTTTCTGGGTCAGACCAATGCACCTACCCATGTGGGAGACCCTAGCTGGGCTAGTGAACCTTGACCACTGCTAACCGGCAAACACCAGCTCACACTAAAGCTAGCACTGTGGTTCTTCCTGGCAGGGCTTGATCATAGTACCTACCAGTGAGTGTCCAAACAGGGAGCTGGTAATGTTAGGCTAGGCCATGACATTAACCAACACATGAGAGAACCAGGTCTGGGGGCAGATTCTGTGGGGGATACATGGGCTTTCTCCTGTGGAGCTGTAATATCTGCTGGTTTGCTCAAGAGCTGGGAGGTGGTGATGGCCTGAGCTACGCATGATCGTGGAATCCCCTGACACTTATGGGCACTGGGGTTGAAACAGGCTGGGCTGGTCCAGGCTGCACCACTCACAAGAACACCCAAGAATAAGCTGGGTGGGCCTGGCCACAACATCCACCAACTCACCTAGAGGCCAAGACACGGTGGGGGAACTTGGAGAACTTCCTGGTGGGCCATAGCTCCCATTAGTAAGCATATGATTCAGGTCTGGGTGTTGGTCAGGCCTGGCAAGGTGCTCCACTTGTCAGCAGATGTATGGGTTGGTTTTGGGCAGGGCCGAGCCAAACTAGCACATTGGCATGTGTAGGAGCTAGGGTGGAATGCAGGCTATGCTGGTCTAGGCTAATTACATCATCAGTTTGTGTGAAAGCCAGGGACGGTGAGAGGTTGGGCAGGGCTAGGATGAAGCACTCACCAGCAAGAGTTGGAACTGCGAGTGCACTGAGACAGGTCAGGCTACAGCATGAATTGGCAAAAGCCAAGACTGGGTGGGCTATGCTAGGCTGTGCTAGAACAATCAATGGCACACACAAGATCTGTGGTTGGGATCAGGTCTGGTTGGGGAGCTAAGGGCGATGCCCTGGAGGTTATGGTTCCAAATGGTAAGCACGAGAACTGGGATGGGTTGGCGAACTGTCCTGGACATGACTATAGTATACCTCAGCATGGGTGTAGATTGGGTCTGGGTTGTGCCAGATTGATTGGATCTTGGGGTGGACCATATGAGCTTGGGCTGTAACATGCAACAGTAAGAGCCAGATTGACTGTGGGCTGTTTGGGCAAGGCCACTATTCCTACTAGGATAGGAGGTGGGCCCAGTCAGATTGGGCCAAGGACCCACCAGCGTACGTGAGATCTACCACTGGGAATTGACCTGATAGAGAAACTCAGGGAAATTCTGTCAGGATTCAGTCCCTGCAGATGAGCATAAGAACCAAGGCAGAGATCAGCCCATCCCAGGCCATGTTACAGTACCCATTGGCATTCATGTGGGTCAAGTCTGGAGTTGGGCCAGGCTGGGCCAATTCATAGCACCCACTGGCAGATGTGAAAACCAGGACAGGGTGCAGGACAAGTATGGTTGGACTGCACCACCAACCAGTTCACGTTAGGGCCAGAACTGAGTGTTGTCCAGGTTGGACCAGGCTGCAACATCCACTGGTAAATGCCAACCTGAAGCCAGGTATGCCAGACTGGGCTGCAGGACCTACCAGCACAAGTAACACTTGAGGGGATATACTTGGCAGGGGGCCAGTGGGGCCTCCCCTGCTGGGCCAGTGTTACTGCTGCTGAGCATGAGACCTGGGACCAGCAGGAGCAGAACAGGATAGGCAGGGTTACAACACCCATTGGCGTTCATGTGAGCCAGGTTGGGCTAAGTGAACATAGCCACTGGTGCATTTATGAGCCAGAGTAAGTGCAAGCTGGTCAGGCTTCACCACGGTATCAGCTGGCAAGTGCTGGAACTAGGGGCAAGTCTCGTCCAGCTAGACTACAGAACCACCTGAAAAGTGTAAGATCAGGGCTTGGAATGGGCCTAGTAGGGAAACTGGGCACCTCTCTGATGTGCTGCAGCTCCCACCAGTAAGAATAAGAATTAGGGCTGGGGGTGGACCTGGTTGGACAGGCAGTAGCACCCACCAGCATAACTGTGGGCTGGGTAGTGGGGTTGTTTAGGCTGAGCTAGCCTGCAGCACCCAGTGGTGTGTAGAAAAGCCAAATGGTATATGGGACAGACTGGACCAATCTGTTGGCGTATCTTGCCTACACAGGAACCATAGCTGGGGGGTGGCCTGGTGGGGGTAATTGGAAGTCGCTCTGACAGGGTTGCTATTGCTACTGGTATGCATGAGTGCCTAATGTGTTGTGGGTAGGGTTGGGCTAGGCCACACTATCCATTGGTTTGTGTAAGAGATGGGTCTGGGGGGGACAGAACTGACCCAACAACTGCAACCACCAGTGTGCGTGTAGGCTGATGTGGGTGATGGACTGAACCAGACCCCACCCTGGCTTCCCATAAGTCATGTCTGAGGTCACTTCTGGTGAGGTTTCTCTGGGGACCCCCCCAACTGGACCACTGGACTGAGAACACCAATCATGGGGGAAAAAAAACACAGGATCTACGGTCTGATCATGAGCTGCATGTGTCAGAATTGACCTTAAGCTGCTGAAGATGGAGCAGCGACGGCATGCCCAGATGTACATGGAGGATGTGGAAATTCACTGGGGCCTGCAGAGGACATCTAGTACCACAGCAGAGGATGGAGGGCAGAACAAATTGGACAACTCTCCCAGCCAAGGTTTGCCAGGAAGTATATGGGTGAATGAAAATTGAGATGGAGTATGTCAGCCAGTGGACCTTGAAAGGATTTCTCATCCTTGGAGCAATGAAATCAGCAAGCATTTCAGAACTATCAAAACTGCTCGAGCAGTGCCCTTGGAGCATGCTCCACATTCAGGACCCTGGGATGACATTGGCTATCCCCCCCTTACCTGGTACTAATACGGTTAGGATGCTGGGTGTGGCTTCCCCACCCCGTTTTCTCCTTTCTTCCCCGATACAGGAAGAAGGAAAACAAAATTGGAAGCAGTGGTCTCATCTACCTACTATTCCTTGACCCCTTCCCATCCTAATCAGTGGTGCACATGGGCATGCACCCTTCTCAATTATGTAATCGTCAAAAATAAAATTAATATTAAACTAATGGAGCAAATAAAAATCACTGAAACAAAGTTACTTGTGACACCTGAGCCATCAGACTAACCCCGGATATCCTAAGATTACACAAGAGCCCAATAAACGGCTTTTTAACTTAACCTGCTATTGTATTGAGCCTCTATTGGAGCCCCCTGAGCTTATCACCTCATCAAAGTTAGCTGTGGCCACAAGAATGCTATGTGATCCACCATACTAACACATAGAG